TTCTTATTATACTCTACTCTATTCTTATTATACTCTACTCTACTCTATTCTTATTATACTCTACTCTACTTTATTCTTATTCCACTCTATTCTATTCTTATTCTGCTCTACTCTACTCTATTCTTATTATACTCTACTCTATTCTTATTATACTCTACTCTACTCTATTCTTATTATACTCTACTCTACTTTATTCTTATTCCACTCTATTCTATTCTTATTCTGCTATACTCTACTCTATTCTTATTATACTCTACTCTATTCTTATTATACTCTACTCTACTCTTATTATACTCTACTCTACTTTATTCTTATTCTACTCTATTCTATTCTTATTCTACTCTATTCATATTCTACTCTACTCTATTCTTATTATACTCTGCTCATTTAGAAGGCAAGATATGGAATGTGGTGAAAAAAAGTCTGTTTGATAACAAATGAATAGAGCAAAAATGGCTACAATTCTTTGCTTTGAATGTGTCTCCTCCCAATCTCAGGCCTTGTTTCTATGGGATGTAAGGGACCCTCTTCAGAAGGCTCCCTCTCTCTTGCGCTCCCTGCTTTTCTGCCACCAGGACTGGATTTCCAGCTGTGCTTGGATTGGCACCATGTTGGTGAGTGTGGAGAAATTCACAGAGCATGAACTTCTGGGCTCCTGAGGAGGAGAATCCCCAAGGGGCTGGGTTAGTTATTGTCATTGACCAAAAAGGAGGATCCGCCATCTTGCCATTGGCATAACATTTGCAAGTCCACTGTTGTGAATCACTAGGAAAAGAGGGCCAGGCTAGAAACCAGGAGACTCTTGAGTTCCAGTCCCGCCTTAGACATGAAAACTGGCTGTGTGACTTTGGGCCCATCACTTTACCTTAGTCCCATTCACCTCACAGGGTTGTTGTTGTGGGTAAGATAGGAAGAGGAAGAAGTATTAGGTATGTTCATAGCCTTGAGTTATTTTTAAAAATGGAAATAAATCTTTTAAAAAAATGTGTGGCAGAACTTTCCTCTGAGTCCATCAAAGAGGTAGCACTCTCTTACCATTAATGTCTTCAGCCAGCCCGGATTTCCAAAAAGAAGAAATAAAAGAAGTAGCGAAGTGCCCCAAGGAGAGCTTGCTGACTTACCCATATGCGGGTTTCCGAGAAAGAGAGAGAAGAAATGCAGAGACAGAGAGAGAGTGAGAGAGATACAGAGGGAGAGAGAGAAAGAGTCATAGAAAGAGAGGGGGGGATCGGCTGATGGGCAAGGGTCTTTGGTGAGGGCTTTCTCCGAGCCTGACCTCTGGGGTGGATGTATGAGGTTTGGTGGGGCCAGCTCCTTTTTCCCGCTGCCCTGAGCCACTTAAAGCTGTGGCTGGGCACTGCTGGCACATTCCACTTTCTGACGTCCCCTCCCACTGGATCTCATTTCCACCCCATCAGCCCTTGTGTTAGTGAGGCTGGCGTCGGTTGCAGCTGGACCAGGGTAGTGTCTCGGGGCAAAGAGCAGGTTGTGCATCTCCCCAAGCGACCGAGGCACGCCCAGCACCAACAAGGGCCGGAAGAAGCTCCACAAGAACGAGGCACTGGAGAATCAGGCTGCTTCTCCATCCCCTGCCGTCGCCCTTACCTTCTCAGGCCAGGCAAAGTAGGGGAGGGCAAGGGGCGGGTTCAGCCAGTGATGGAACAGGGAGCTGCAGCAGAGGGCCCAAAGAGACACATGCAGCTCCAGAGCCGGAGGTTGCTGACTCCCAGTCTGGTGTTGGGGTGTCAAACTTGATTTCATTGAAGGCCGCATCAGAGTTGTGTTTGACCTCAGGAGGGGGGTTGTATTCAGCCCCCAGGCCTTGAGTTTGACACCCCTGATCTAGTGGTTAGGGTGCTGAACCTGTTGAACGGAAGGTTGGCAGTTCGAGACTCAAGTACCATGTGACGGGGTAAGGTTGCTTTTTTTGGGGGGGGGGGGATCATTCCTATATAGGGTATATTGGAATTGGTGACCCTTTGAGAGTAGTAGGCAGTGAAATTTCATTTTAATGTATGCCAATTAGTGTACATTTAAAGTGACCATAAAGTTATTCTAAGTCCTGTTCTAGCTCCAGCTCCTGAAAACTTAACAGTTTGAAAGCATGCAAATGTGAGTAGATAAATAGGTACCACTTAAGTGGGAATGTAACAGCGTCCATGAGCCTCGGCTTATAGTCATGCTGGCCACATGACCACAGACGTGTCTTCAGATAATGCTGGGTCGCTCAGCTAGAAAACAGAGATGAGCCCCGTCCCCCAGAGTCAGACACCTTCAAAAAAAGGGGGGGGGGCTAGACCCAGAAAACTACCATATTTTTCGGAGTATAAGACGCACCTTTTTCCCACAAAAAAGAGGGTGAAAACCTGGGTGCGTCTTATACACTGAATACAGCATTTTTTGCCTCCTAAAACCTTGCTCCCTTCACCAAAATGGCCATGCATAACCTTTAGGAGGCTTTCCGAGTGTTCCTGGGTGCTGGGGTGGGCAGAAATGAGCGAAAACCAGGCCAGCTTTTTTGCTCATTTGTGGGGGCTTCCACCTCCCAGGGGCACTCTACAAGCCTCCTAAAGGACTATTCTGCATTTCTAACTACTCTTTCTGACCCTTGTTCTTTTGGCAACAGCTCTCTGGCTCCAATGATGGTACCGTTTGTCTCTGGGATATGACAACTAACGAGTGTGTCCAGAAATTCCTGGGGCACCAAAGCCCAATCTGTGGAATCACAACTGAGGTAAGGGGATAGGCCAAAGGTGGAGCATTTTCAAAGGATGATTCTGCAGAAAAATCAAACACTCAAAGATAACCGATTCAGCTGGATTCATTAACTTCTTTTTATACATAATAACAGATGACTAAATGTACAATACCAATAGTAGAATCTTTCATTGTGATAGAAGTTACAGGCAGAACACAAGCAGGAGAGAACATTTTCATCTCAGAGTTCAGAATGTTTCAGTTTTTATTCTCAGTACAGACTCAGATTTGTTTAAGCTCCCATTGGCTGACTTAGTTGCTATGCCTATTCATTGGCTGGCCTTGTTACCACGTCTCTCCCATTCATGAATATTCTAACAGATTCTTTCCTAAATATGTCTCTGCCTCCCCTCCACATTTCAGTGATTCTATAAAACAAAATGAGGGAGTTCAAACCCAGAAAGGAACCTACTGAAAACTCTTTAAAGAAGCGCAAAGAGTTTAGAATTGGAAATCACTTTTGAGGGGATTTGAAAGAGGCCATTTTGATCTTTCCAGAATTGATCCAAGATTCTTCTAAGCTCAGCGAAGTTGTCCTGAGGTTGATGTGATCCCTTTGGGAGCAGCATCGGAACACTTTCTGTAAAGTCTTCCGACGGTCTCTTTCAAATTCAGAACGAGCCATTTTGAGGTTCAAAACATTGTGGGCGCTTCTAGAATGCTGTCTCTGTGGATGAGAGTGGAAGAGAAAACAGCTTTGCATTCAAGGTCGTGTTTAGAGAAAAATATATAAATAGTGCCTTGGAGAAGACCTGAAAGAAACAGCGATAAGGATAAAAACATTTTAACTTGATGCTTAACCTTTAAGGACTGAAATTGGCCTGAAATCGTTATTTGCAATTAGATTTGCTATTTTGTATAATCCTCACAGTTCCAGGTGTAAAAGTGAGCTTGTATGGTGAGATGGGCGGCAACAAATTGAAGGGAGGGAGGGAGGGAGGGATGGGATGTAGGATGGGTTCTGGCTATCACTACTACTGGTTCGTTCAGGGACGCAATGCGCACTCACATGCACAGTGCAATAAAAATTGCTCTGCGCATGCCCTGAAGGCAAATCAAGATGGCGCCGCCTACGGTGCCACCAAGGGAACCGGTTCAGTGGTGTGGCAGGCCTGGGTTGCTGCCAGTTCCAATGACTCAGGCCGGCTAGATACTACCGGTTCAGCCGAACCAGGCCGAACCAACAGGAACCCACCTCTGATGGGATGGGATGTGTTGAATGAATGAATGAATATTATATTGTATCTAGCTCAACCAGAAGCATTTTCCCAAGAGTATAAGAAAACTAACATCATCTTTGAATGTTTAGAAAGTAATATTGTTATTGCTGATAACTAATATACAGGTAGTCCTCGACGTACAAAAATTTGTTTAGTGACCGTTTGAATTTAACAACAGCACTGAAAAAAGTGACTTATGACTATTTTTCACAGTTATGACCATTGCAGCATTTCCATGATCACGTGATCAAAATTCAGACGTTTGACAACTGACTCATATTTATGACGGTTGCAGTGTCTCTGGATCACGTGATCCCCTTTTGCGACCTACTGACAAGCAAAGTCAATGGGGAAGCCAGATCCATTTAACAACCGTGTTACTAGCCTTAACAACTGCAGCGATTTACTTAACAACGGTGGCAAGAACAGTCATAAAATGGGTCAAATCTCAACAACTTAGCCTCACTTAGCAACATAAATTTTGAGCTCAATTGTGATTGTAAGTCGAGGACTGCCTGTTCTTGTAGTTTTGGGAGGACGCTGTTATAATTTCTAGCATTTAGTGTAGAATTGGTATAGTAATTATTTCTGTTGACTGTGGCTCATTCATAGCAGATTCTTGTAAGTGTCAGCCTCTGTTTCGCTTGCTTGCTATCGGCTGCCATAGAAACAGGGAGGGTGGGGGCACGGTATTTGGGAAGGGAATTATATGGTACTGGAGGAATAGGTAGAAGAGGGTTTTGTTCTCACCATCTTCTGTGTATGCTGATGTTTGGTCAAGGCCAACCGTCTCGCATACCAACCTAAGGAGGCCTTTTGAAGATGCACCCCACATGACACCTTAGGGAGTTGCAGATTGGACACTGGGCTGGGGTAATTGGAGGGAGGGGGCTAATCATTTGATATGTACTTGTTCGTGCCTTTTTGGCTCAGATTTTGCTTTCCTTTCACTGCTATCTTTTCATAATCGGTAAAAGTATCTTTAATTCCATAAACAATGGAGTTGAGAGTTTTCTTTCTTGGTTATTGATGGAGGCACACCTGACAGTTAGTCTATTGATCCTTTTCCCTCATTTTAGCTGTCTACTAGCTTATTTAACTGGGTCATTACTTCCTAGATGAGTTCGGATGTGGGACATCAGTTCTCAGCATATTCAACTAATATTCTGGTGGGGTCTTCTGAGAATTGTGTTTACTCACCGCTCTGAAGGGTACTCCATTCTGTGGTGCAACCAGCTGCAAAACTGTTTGCATGTTCCAAGCCAATCCCACAGAGCAGTTGCTACACATATATCATGACTGTGACTATGCCTGACCATGCTTCTTGTTTTATTTCCCTGAACTCTTCCCTTTCTGCATCCTTGTACACAGAAAGACCATGTCATCTCCATGGGCAGAGATGGGATGCTGATAACATGGAACCTCCAGGGAGTGGAAGAAACTCGCTTCTTGGCTCACCCGAGCCAGACCAATCACTGCACTGGCTTCAGAGATCCATGTAAGAGATTTCTTGGCACTGTTTTGCAAAAAACATGACTCTGTTTTGGAAGACAGAGACTGGGGAGGAGGTGAAAGTCCTGTCTGCATTGTTTACCCTGTAATGCAAATGAATCTTTGGTTGTGTATATTTTTATATCAGGGTTTAATTTTGATACAGATGATGCTTCCATTTGTGAAAATATACATTAAAACATACTTAAATTTGATCAAGCCTTCTTCCCTTAAGCCCAGAGACAGAGAGAGACAAAAACATTTCATTCTGATCTAGTGGTTAGACCTCATGGTTAATGCACAGGGCTAGAAACAGGAGATTGTGAGTTCTAGTCCCACCTTAGGTATGAAATGAGTCTCTCTCAGCCCATCTTACTGTTCTGGCCTAGGCTTCCCCTCCTCACTTTTATTAATTGACTGTGAATTCTGCTCATTCACATCCAGCAAAGTCTTTCAAGGGAGGATTTATAGTCACAGACCTTATCTGGCTTGGAGAGCTGACAGGCCGAGATCTACAGAACTTGGCAAGGAGTCTTGGAGAGTCACAGACCAATTAAGCAAACTAACCCACCCATCCACCCATCATCCATCATCCATCACCCATAATCAATCCATCCATCCATCCATCATCCATCCACCCGTCCACCCGTCCACCCATCCACCCATCCACACCCATCCACCCATCCACCCATCGACCCATCCACCCATCCACCCACCCACCCACCCACCCACCCA